ATGCTTTAAGATGATTTGGGCACCTTAGGATTAACCATTCTGTTTCCCCACTAAATAGCTTACCCATGCATTTTCCCCTTAGTTAACCACTTTTGAGCGTATTCCCGTTTCTTTGTTTTCACCATATTCATAAACCCGAACCTTTTTTTTATCCCTCTTTTCTACCTTTTTCAGGGCAAGTGAATAATTTTACCATTGTATTCTCCATCGAAAAAAAATGTTGAATGAAAAAAAAGAAAAAAAAACAGTTCGAAAAGAAAAGAAGCTGTTCGAACGAAAAAAAAGACGAAAAAATGGAAAACAAAACAACAAAAGTGTAAAAAAGGAAAAATGCATTTCGATAAGAAATTTGTTGTTTGATATGTTGTCTTTTTATCTTGTTGTGCTTAATGTTTTGATGGAGTTGAGATTATTATTTGTTAGTTCATTGCCTTGAAATTTTTAGCCATATATTTAGCCTTTTCCCCACCTTTACCTAAGCCCCGCTACAACCAATAAAAGACCCTTTGATTTATGCATCCTGTTCTTATTAGTAGTGGAGATTTGATTTACTTGCAAGCTTATGGTAATACCGTGTCAATTCTGAAATTGAGCGTTTCTTTACCCCAAACACATTGAGTGGTTTGAGTGAATCCTGGTAAGGTATTGAGTTATGAGCAATGAAATTAATGAATGGATATTACAATTGCACTTGACTTGTTCCAATTGGCGATGTTCAATTGATTGATTTCTTGACTTGAATAGTTATTGTGGTCTCTACCTTGCTTCCCTAAATGTGAAACTTGAGAAAGAGCATTTAATGAAGTTTTTGACTGATTTGGTTAATCATAATTGAGGACAAGCATGAGATAAGTGAGGGGGAATTTGATGAGTGTTTAAAATCGTTAATCTTTGCTCGTTATTTCTTCAATTTTGTCGAATTATTGCTACTGAATTGGTCGTGTTATACTTGTTTTTGTACAGGTCTTTGCTTTCCAGAATTTGTGACAAAACGAGCGAATTCTGTATTTTTTATTATTATTTGGTCACGACTGGAGACATGGGCACGACGCGGTCTGACGTGGCAGTTTCTATAAGGTCCAATCAGCGACGATTTCTAGAAGACTTCGTCCGTACGCCTTCTGGAAGATTGACGAGCAGAGTTGCATTAGGAGACTAGTTTAAGTTTGAATTTAAATTTAAAAACTATTATCTTTTGTATTATTTTATTATTTTCTTTGTTTATCCTTTAGTCATTGAGAGGCTATAAATACCCACTTGGGGTAAGCCTAAAATCATCATTCGTAATACATTCTTCTTTTCTCTCTAGTTTTTATAAAAGTTTTCTCTTTTCCTTTTCAAGTTCTTTTTATTTTTCTTTATTTTCAAGTTTTATTTTTTGCTAAGTATGACTCTTGTCATGCTTAGCTAAACTTTTCATAAGCCGAGAGCTGTCGCGATGATTCAATTCCAACGGGAGAATTGAAACGGTCCCTTAATATCTTCGGAATATCTCTCTCAATCTCTGCGCTTATTTTTCAAAATCAAAACAGTTTTCAAAATAAAAGATTGACTTTGGTCAAGAGGTTGTTGCGATTAAACATGTGGGAGGAAGATTCGGCTTATAAAAAGCAATTCGACTTCCTGGGAACACACTTGGCGAGATAGCTTCGCCAAGAGAGAATTGAGATCGAAATTGACGGTTATAGAAACAACGATCCGAGTCGGTCGCCACGAACTTAAATGGTATTTGATCTACGACAATAGATGTTATTAGAATCAACTACCGAAGCCGGAATCAAAGATTGCCTTGGGTATTCGGTATACAAGATAGAGTCACAAGGATAGCCCTTGTAGACAAAGTAACCGACGTGAATCCCGAAGAGAAAATCTTATTCGATGATCTAAAGGAAATTGAATCAAAGCGAAGCTTGAGGCTACTTTTACCGTATTTATTCACAATCTTCATCTTCTTATTTTTACTTTAATTACTTTTATTTAATCACTTTTATTATATTTTTACTAAATCCCCCCATTTTTACTGTTTCACACCTGGCATAAATAATTCAGACAGAAATTTATAATTTTCTAAGTCCCTGTGGAATCGACCCTTACTTCTCTTTTCTACGCACTTCCCTAATTTATTGATTGAGAATAAGGAATTATTTTGACATCCGAAACGACAGTTGTCAGAGAAGCCCCCAAAAGACTCATTTTCCCTCCTCAAGCCGAATTCCAACCTAGTTTAACCTTAAAAAAAACCTTAGAGTCGTAGATCTAGGTTTTACCTCTCGAATATTTTGAAAAACCGGAGACCTTGGACTTCTCGGCTTCGAAAGGAGGTAAGATGCTTATTCCCACAATCTTTTCTCTCTCAGTTTTTATTTTTTCGAATGGGTTCGAATACTCCTCTATTTTTTCTTTTCCGAATCCTTTTGTGTTTTCCTCTCGATTTTCCCTTTTGTTCGGTGTTTGGATCCCGAATGGTTCTATCTGGTTGGGATCCCCTTCAATCGTTTATGTTGCATGAATTTATAGATTTACAAACACATTGTTTTCGGTAAGATTAGACTCCTAGTTGAACTAGAATACTAATTTGCTTTTCTGTTTTTTGGCTTGGTTGTGCGCCGGGTTTCTCGGGGAGGTAGGTTGTTGCTGCTGGAATGAGGACTCTCCAAGATTCCTCAAGCTGACCGGTGAGACGTGCGGCGCTGATGTCAACAGGTGATGCAGCGCTAAACCGAAAAAGATGAAAACTCTAGCTCTCATATGTTAGGCTTGGTCTGTTGGGCCGACTGGGTTACGGGCGGGATTCTGATAAAAAAGGGAAAAAGAAAAATAAATACATGTATTATAAACAATACTATGTTATGTAATATACCCACTATATAATATAGTATGTTAAATAATAGCATGTATATATATATATTATATAACATAAACGATTCATTTATGCTTATACAATATAAATAACTATATAGTCATATAATGTTTATATTATATAATATAAATAAACTAATACACTTCAATATAATACTAGATAACCAAGGTCGGACGAAAATATGTGTCTACAATATATAAGATTTTGTTGCACAATGTAAAACTCTTTTAGTTGAGCGAAAATAGATGACTGAGATTAATAGTAGGAAATGAGAATATATTCATTAAAAAATGAGTTAATAACATCAATATATTTTCACTCATCTAACAGTCCTAAATATCTGTAAAACTAAAGAGTTTTACATTGTGCAAGTGGATTTTTCACCCCATATTTAATATTTTTTCTTCTTTTTACCATATTTAATTGGTATTATTGTACTAGTTCAATTGGCAATGTTAATATAACGGGATTTGAGGCTAGGAACACAAATACTAGTATATATATACATATGATATTTTTTAAAATTATTTTAAGATTAATAAGAATAGTTAATTTTATTAAATAAATAAATATGAAATACTATACAATAATTTTGAGAAAGAAAATCATATAAAATTAAAGTAGAGTAATTATATAACCAATTGTTTTTTTAAAATTCATCAAAGAGCACAAACTTGCTAGCTTCTAGATAATGAAAATATAATCATGTATAGGAATTGTTAAAAATTCAATCAAAGAATTCAAAGAAATAGAAGATACAAACAAATACTATTGTTGACGATGGAAAATAAAAACTATCTGTAATAACATAAAAATAAATATAGTGATGCGACACGTTAACAACTTATCTTATCACGACTCATGCACTATATATCTAGATGATTACAATCACTAATTGATACTAGAGATAAATTAATAAGATAATCAAATAACCCCCAACTCATGAGTGATGTTAGATTCAATTCTAGAAAAGAGAAAAATGTGATTCTAGAGCATTAAAAATACCTCACAATTTTCATTAGAAGATGAAAATTTATTGAAAAAAAATAATATTAATATTTAAATATATAAAATGAAAAAGGAAAAAAATAAGAAGAGAAGAGAACATAAAACAGAACACAGATTATAACAAGTAGTTGAATATATAGACCATTTTTCCAACAGTTAAAATCCAGTTTTAGCAGAGAATAAGTAAGCATCCATGGTGGGACAGTTTTCTGTTTCACTGATCCAAAGGTCTGTCCCACAGAAAATATCACATCAAAAAGACCAGAACATTAATGCAACACAACCGTCGGATCAGCTGACCTCATTATCATTAGTAAAACCGAACTACGGGTTTGAAAAAAAAAAGTCAAGAATATTTTTCATCAGCCAAATGTATACATATTTCAACAAGCTTCGATACACACCATTAAGTCGATAAGTCCAAAGTGGGACCTAAGTGGGTCCCAGAGCTATGCATTCGTGCCACGTGTACTGGGTTAGCCCCAATCAAGGGAGGGGGATCCCATTATAAGCCATACAATACCCACAGGTTGACACTGCATGCTTTAGCCTTTTGCCCACAAATATTGGTGAACATTGGTCGGAGTCGAATTAGTTAAATTCACGATTTTTATTTTATAATTTAAATTTTATTTGAAATGTTTTTTGAGTCGAGTTTAATATATAAAATTTGAGTTGGATTTAGTTATTTGAATTTTTATTTAAATTTAATTATAAATATTTTTAATATTAGTTCTAATTGGTTTTAATTTAAACACTATACATATATATTTTTTCATATGCATAGTTAAAATACTCAATACGAACTTGAAAACTCATCCACCAATTACTAAAAATTTTAAATTATTTGAATCTTATTTTATAACTTAAATTTCTTTAAATTTTTTAGTTGAGTCGAATCAAAATTTTTGACATCAAATTGAATTAAAATATTTATTTTTTTAAATAGAGTCAAGTTATGTTCACTACTACCTACAAACCCTAAACCGGGCCACCATTGGTACAGCTCCTCAACATTAAATTCACATCACCTCAGCTGTACTCTTCTTTATCAGATTCCTCTTGGTTCAAAGCTTTGATTTTCTTCTGGAGCTTGTCTCTCTGATCCATTTTCATCATACAGAAAGAAAACAAATGGGTCACCATTCATGTTGTAACAAGCAGAAGGTGAAGAGAGGATTATGGTCACCTGAAGAAGATGAGAAACTCATTAACTACATTACAACATATGGCCATGGCTGCTGGAGCTCAGTCCCTAAACTTGCAGGTTCATTTTTGCAGACTATATAACTACAAATACTAACCACTGCATTTGATTCCTTGTTCTTTAATTTGTTGATTTCTTTGATGCAGGCCTGCAAAGATGTGGAAAGAGTTGCAGACTAAGATGGATAAATTATCTCAGACCCGATTTAAAACGTGGGAGTTTCTCTCCACAGGAAGCTGCTGTCATCATCGAGCTTCATAGTATTCTGGGCAACAGGTTCTTAAATCATTATATTTATGGAGTTTTGAATCTTTTCATCAGTTTTTTCATCATTTTGATCGTCGTTTTTAACAGATGGGCGCAAATAGCAAAGCATTTACCAGGAAGAACTGATAATGAAGTGAAGAACTTTTGGAATTCTAGTATCAAGAAGAAGCTTATCTCCCATGAACATGTTCCGGCTTTGACCTCTTTTGCTGCCGATGTTCATAACTCAAACCCTAATTTGATTCTCGGTGCTCAACAGGATCAGCTCTTTCTTTCTTCCCCAACTGCACCATTGCTACAAAGCTTTGTTCATCATCATCATACAGATTTTAAGTCGAACTCTTGTAGCTCAGACACGAATTTGGTTCACCATCATTTCCAATTGACACCGATGCTCCCACCGCAACTTCCGCTTCCGCCTCCACCTTCCTTCGACCCTTTGTGGACATTGCCGTTTGCAGTACCCCAACACGATCTCCACGATCATCAAGATCTAGAAGACGTGTTCGTTAACGACAACACCTTAATGTCTCCTTCTCCGACCGTGCCCAAATTATGTGAAATCCTCGAAGGGAACATGATCTGCAACATCCCACACACGTCGGTTTCGTTAGAGAACAACATCGATCCACTCGTCTCGAGGTTCTCGTCTTGTTTCCCGATGCCTGGTGTTGCCGGTTCGAACTATGCACACGAGATTCAGGTGGAAACAAGCCGGCTGGTGGAGTACAATATCGGTACCATCATCACATCGTTGCCTTCGTCTTCCTCGTCGTCATCATTATCAGCGTTGTCCGGCTGGCAGTATTTGACAAACCCTAATCTTCCTTCATCCACCTGGGAGCCTTAGGCACATGGCGGATTCAACTCCGTCTTGTAGTATGATCTTCTAGGTATTTTCTCTATAAAGCAATCATTTCATGATATATATATATATATAAAGTGCAGGATCCAATATTTAAGAGAAAACTAAAACCCTAAATGTTACCAATTCAGATATTCAGTGAGGATAATTGTATCTTGATGATGTTCCATAAATAAATATCTAAGTTATTAATTTCAAACACACATATATAGAGAGAGAGAGAGAGCTTTCTCTCTCTATTATGATTTGTAGGTGGAGGGGGCATTAAAACAATGGGAAATAGTTCATATTAATACATTTTTTATGTGGTTGATTTTGTTTATATAGGAATTCCTGATAATTCTGATGATTAGTGTGTAGACTATAACATATATATAGCTGGTAATAATATCAAGTTGTTAGGGTTCATTGCCTTCTAAAATTTTCTCCCTCTGGTTGAAGTTTTACTTTAGTTAATATCTCTTTAAGCGTATTTATAAGTATATTTAATTGAAAGGTTTAAAAAATTATGAATTATGACTTAGATTATTTTATTATATTGTATTATTTTTTCCTCATATGTGTTTTCACTGTCAAAAGTTCGAACAGAAAAGCTATACATTTTGAGTTTGGTAGAGATGTGTTAACGGTATATATTTTTATACATCCATAGTGAACAAATTAAACAATAATAAATTACTAAAAATTTAAAATTAAATTTATTTTGAATAATGTAATATTATTTTATTCATTTATAATGTTTAAAATTATGAACGATGAGTGCATAGATGAATATTAGCACATAGAAGACCGTAAATGAAAGGAACTTGAACAAACAAACATTTTTTCATATTTATTCGTTTAATTTAAAGTATTCTCTTGATAAATTCGTATATATTAAGGATTTTGAAATCATGTATGTTTATTTAAAAATCATGTGTTCATGTTCATTTGTTCAGTGTCGACCAACACTAAATAAATAATTTCACAAACATTAAATGAACATATTGAACATGTTTACTAACCTATCAAATGACTTTAGTGGTTAAAAGAGTATTATTCTCTCTAGAAGTCTTGGGTTCGAACAATTGTGTATAGGGTGTGTATGAGTTGTCAATAGTTAAGAAAGATTCTTAACATATACTATCTTGAAATCACACCAAACTATTAAAAAAAATCTATTTGTGAATAATAAATGAAAGTTATTATTATATTTTAGATATAAGATGATCAAACATAAATATCAATGATTATATTATTAGGTGATCGAATTTAAACAATCAAACTAAAAAGAGAGATGATAAATGAACTGAAAATAAGTATATTCGTGAACATAAATAAATCGTATATCTTTATTCAATCATGTTAATTTAATTAACAAACTAACATAGTTTTTTTTTATATTCATTTTTTAAGTTAACAAGTGAATAATATACAAATAGTTTAGAAGGACCTCAGTTGAGGAGGAGATGAATTTTATCTAAACTTATCCTCAACGTATATAATAGAGAAATAAAGACACGGTGTCCAATATAATTAAATGAAATAGGTACAAGGGTTGCGATTATTGTGGGAAATCTTAAAAGAGGGCCAACACGACTGATGTCATCAATAGCGGAATGCTTGGCAGAAGTAGTAAACTACAACTTCACCCACAGCTACTAGGGCTCCATCGATTTTGGCCTTTAAACCCTTTGTTATTGCCCCACACCTAGGGTTGTAAAATCGGGTAATCATTCTGGTTTCAGTCGGATCTTGTCAGGTCGGGTAAAATTGAATACAAGTCAAGTTAAGTAAATTTGATGCTTCCACTCAAATCAGATCGGGTCCAGGTCAAATCAGGTCGGTTCATTTTCAGGTTGATTTGACACCAGTTACAGTTCGGGTTTAGGTCGGGTTACTTTTAGTTCGGATCGGTGTCAGTTCAGGTTCGGAGCAGCTAAAAAGCAGGTTAATTCAGGTTCGGATGGACTTCAGGCGAATCTCGTTTAGATCGGGTCACATCATTGGCAGATAAAATTCAGGTCGGATCTCTATCAGATATGGATTGAGTTCAAATCAGGCTAATTTTTATTTTTGGATGAATTATTTTCGTCTTTCGCGAACGTTGAATTGCAATTTGTAATTGTATATGATTTAGAGTAAATTACTAAGAATATAAATAATCATGGTTCAATTTTATGCAAAATACAAATTTAAGAATTAAATTGAACAAATATGAAATTACAAATAAAAACTTAAATAAATTAAACAACACACATTGATGAGGGATCAAATCGAAATAATTTTAAATTGTGAGGTTGAAATTAATACAAAAAAGTACTAAATTATACCCATTTAAAAAGTTATGGGCCAATTAAAAAATAGAAATAAGTAATAAGTATGGATCAATTTCAGATTCAAATAAAATTTGGAGGACTAAATTGAACAAATACAAAATTACAAATAAAAATTTAAATAAATTTAAAAAACACATTGATGAGGGATCAATTCGAAATAATTTTAAATTGTGAGGTTGAAATTAATACAAAAAGTACTAAATTATACCCATTTAAAAAGTTATGGTCCAATTAAAAAATAGAAATAAGTATGGGTCAATTTCAGATGCAAATAAAATTTGGAGGACTAAATTGAACAAATATGAAATTATAAATAAAAATTTAAATAAATTAAACAACACACATTGATGAGGGATCAAATCGAAATAATTTTAAATTGTGAGGTTGAAATTAATACAAAAAAGTACTAAATTATACCCATTTAAAAAGTTATGGGCCAATTAAAAAATAGAAATAATTAATAAGTATGGATCAATTTCAGATGCAAATAAAATTTGGAGGACTAAATTGAACAAATATGAAACTAAAAATAAAAATTTAAATAAATTAAACAACTCACATTGATGAGGGACCAAATCGAAATAATTTTAAATTTTGAGGTTGAAATTAATACAAAAAGTTCTAAATTATACATTTTTAAAAAGTTATGTGCCAATTAAAAAATAGAAATAAGTAATAAGTATGGGTCAATTTCAGATGCAAATAAACTTTGGAGGACTAAATTGAACAAATATGAAATTACAAATAAAAAATTAAATAAATTAAACAACACACATTGATGAGGGATCAAATCAAAATAATTTTAAATTGTGAGGTTCAAATTAATACAAAAAAATACTAAATTATACCCATTTAAAAAGTTATGGGCCAATTAAAAAATAGAAATAAGTAATAAGTTTGGGTCAATTTTAGATGCAAATAAAATTTGGAGGACTAAATTGAATAAATATGAAATTACAAATAAAGATTTAAATAAATTAAACAACACAAAGGGATCAAATATGAAAAATATTGTAAAATGGACTAAATTGCATTCATTTCAAAAGTTGAGAAAAAAATTAAAACGACTAATATATATATATATATATATATAATATAAACTATATAGTTTATATATATATATATATATATTATATAAATTATATATATCATGTATAAACTATAATACTATATAGTTTATATATGAACTATTGAACTATATAGAAACTCATAGTTTATATAAAAATTATATATGAATTATATATAAACTATACAATTTATATTTATATATTATGTATAATTATAAATAATATAGATTGTATAAATTATACAGTTTATTAATATAAACTATATAGTTATATATATATATATAGTATATATGGTTTAAGGTTTATGATTTATGATTTAAGGTTAATTTATTGAATTATATATAAAGTATATAGTTTATAGATAGTAGTATTTAAACTATATATAAACAATATAAACTAACTTATACTATATGTAAACTATATATACTATATAGTTTACATATGAACTATAGGTATAAACTATATAAACTATATATATATATAATATGTAAACTATATAGTTTACATATGACCTATATATATAGTTTATTAGTGAACTATATAAACTATTTATAGTATATACTATATAATATAAATTATAGTTTATATATACTACATACTATAGTTTATATTTATATACTATTTATATAAACTATAGTTTATATTTATATACTATATATATGAACTATAGTTTACATATAAACTATATAGTTTATATACTAGCTATAGTTTACATATAAACTATATAGTTTATATTCTAACTATAGTTTACATATAAAATATAGTTGATATTTACATATGAACTATAGTTTACATATGAACTATATATATAAACTATATAGTTTACATATGACCTATATAGTTTATTAGTGAGCTATATAAACTATTTATATAGTATATATTATATATATAAACTATAGTTTATATTTATATACTACATACTATAGTTTATATTTATGTACTATATATTATATATATAAACTATATATACTATATAGTATAATTTACATATGAACTATATATAAAAACCATATAAACTATATACTATAGTTGATATTTATATACTATATAATATAATTTATACTATAGTATATATAAACTATATATTATATAGTTCATTAGTATATATAAAACTATACATTATATAGTTTATTAGTATATATAAACTATATAATATATATAAACTATATGGTATATATAAACTATACATTATATATATTTCATTAGTATATATAAACTATATATTATATAGTTCATTAGTATATATAACCTATATAGTATATGGTATATACAAACTATATATTATATAGTGCATTAGTATATATAACCTATATAATATATGGTATATATAAACTATATATTATATAGTTCATTAATATATATAAACTATATAGTATATATAAACTATATATTGAAAAGTTCATTAGTATATATAACCTGAATTGCCCATCTAGCTTAGTTGGTAGAGCGCAAGGCTTTTAACCTTGTGGTCATGGGATCGAGTCCCACTTAGGGCAATTCATAACGGAGGTCTTCCACGGAAGCTGCTCTCAACCTGGTGTTTGGGGTAGCCTACTACCCTACCTCCCCTTATCCCATTACATATGGGAATAGGGTCAGCTAATTAGTATATATAACCTATATATTAATTTATTAATATAAACATATATATTAAT